ATGGTGCAAATACACATAATGTCTAGAACACATGTGGTTCCATGGTGTAAATGCACATTTTGTACAGAACACACATGGTTCCATGGTGTAAATGTACATTTTGTATACAACACACATGGTTCCATGGTGTAAATACACATTTTGTATAAAACACATGTGGTTCCATGGTGTAAATGCACATTTTGTATAGTACAAACATGGTTCCATGGTGTAAATACACATTTTGTATAGAACACACACAGTCCCATGGTGTAAATACACATTTTGTATAGAACACACACAGTCCCATGGTGTAAATGCACATTTTGTATAGAACACACACAGTCCCATGGTGTAAATGCACATTTTGTATAGAACACACATGGTTCCATGGTGTAAATACACATTTTGTATAGAACACACACAGTCCCATGGTGTATATGCACATTTTGTATAGAACACACATGGTTCCATGGTGTAAATGCACATTTTGTATAGAACATGCATAGTTCCATGTTTTGTATAGAACACATATGGTTCCATGATGTGTATACACATTTTGGATAGAACCTGAGTAGAAACATGGTGTATCTATTAAAGAATACATACAATATACATATAAATGCATTACCAACCTCTGTTCCTATAAATGTAGGTCGTATATACAATGTACTCGATGTTGAATATGGCACCCATTCTTTATCGATGCTTATTAGTTTCTGCAGGCACTTAATAAATTCTTTTCCTTCAAAGTTCTATGAATGAAAGTTGCATACACAGTTTACATCATTTAAATTCTATTGCAGGCAAAAATACGCTTAAAATTGTTACCATGTCAACTATTATGTGTACTGTAATGAATAGAATAGCAAAGGTGTTTGCAAAATATCTGCATTACTTGCCAGGAGCTGAACATCACTAAGCAGTTTTATGGATTTGGTTGTGATTCCAGCATCATAGGGTGTCATCAAATCAGTGAATTGCAAGATTGTAGGTGGACCATATATTTCAAAATTAATATTGGATGTGAAGTATTTTTCATTAAGATTATCAGCTAAAAACATAAATTTTGCAAAAATGGTGTTATTTTTGCTAAAAAAAATATGATATACTTAAAAAATGGATATCCTGCTTCTCTTTTTAACACATTTTTTTATCAGCTAAAAACTTTAATTTTGTAAAAATGGTGTTATTTTTGCTAATATATGATATACTGAAAAATAGATATCCTGCCGTTTCTTTTCAATACATTTTTAAGTCCTGGGTATTTTTATCCTACAGACTAACTTACCTACAATGTAACTACCACAAAAACTAAGAAAGTTACACAACTACTGATACTGCAAATGCTCAATTATTATCAGTGTTCCCACTAAGCCTTATATTTACATAATGTTCTGTGAGTTGGCAGTTTTTTTCTTAGCAATTTCATGCATTTTGTTTTCACAACATTTCTTGATGCAAAACTTGCTCGCTGATAAGAATGCAGTTCATCATATATCCATATTACAGTCGAAAAATATTATTTTACCCTACACTAAATCAACTATTCCATAAAACCATGTTTTTGTTTTTATGCCATTAAAATCAACAACTTCAAAGGTTGTATTGGAAATGAACTTTATTCTGTTTGGAGTGGATGAACATTTTGTCCCTGAAAGATGCTTTCTACTCGGATCAATAGTACTGTCACAGCCAACGCACTTGGGTTCACAAGTTTCAACACTTGTGGTGATTGACAGGTGGAACATGGAAGGGTCATGAAAATAACTTGTATGACGTGCCAATATCTGCTGACATTAATAATTTTTTCAAGAAGCATGCAGCTGGACTTATTAAACAATTATTGAGCAAAGAAGTCAATCAAGATTTCAAAATCACTCAAGAACCTCATACAATTATACACTCAATTAATTGTTAACGCTTTAATAATATTCCAATCAAAAAATGAATAATGCCAGTATTTTTTAATTCTCAACAAATAAAGTTAATATTGTGCATACTTCCAGGCAAAAGCAGCTCTAGATCAGATATACATGTACTTACAGGAAGACTTGCTCTTGTTGCACCATCATTCATTCTTTTCATGTTTAGATCAGGTCGGAACATTCTTATTACATTGTCTACACCCCGGTATGCTTTCATTCCTTCAAACAACTAAGTAACAAAGGAAACAAGTGAATAATAAACATAACATCACTCTTTGTCATTTGTTACTATAGTACCACTGTGATAAAGCAGTCACATATACATGTGTCATGACAAAGTGAGTTCCAATTTGGCATATTAACTGACAAAAAATAGAAAAGAATGCTAAATATGATCTTTAAGAAAAAGTAATGTCATATCAGGCATTAGACCCATTTTATGTCCAAAATGGCTGCCAGTTGGCCATGATTTATCAAATCACACAAAAGACATCAAGTTATGGCTCTGTACTAAGTTAAACAGAAGTTAATCTGTCAATGTATATTCCAGAAATTGTTCTGAACAGAAAGACAAATAAATGTACACACAGTCATACAGACTGAACCTAAAATAATTATCTCTGAACATGAACTTATAAATTAATATTATGACTTCCAGGAATAGGGAAAAATTGACAACACATCACTAATAACAAACACAAAATGGCAAGATCGATCCTGGTTCATCATTTTTCACAGCTGTACACAACACTAACACCACTCAAAGCCCTGAGATAGACACAGCATGCTACAAAAAGCCATGTGTGGTTCAGCTACTCGCATACTGAATATCACAAACATTTAATTGAATGTTATCAGGTATTGATTTATACATATCCTAAGTTGAGCTAAATGTGGCACAGAGTCAAGCAACTCAGATAGTTGTGAATCACACACATTCATTATGCGTTGGTTTTGAATTTTTCTATTTTTGTTGATAATGTAAAATAACAAAAAATCTCATTATTTACCTGCCAAGTTTGTGAACTTAAAAACCCAGTAAAATTGCTAAAAACATTAAATTAG